AAATAAGGATATTTGAAAGGCTGCTTTCACGTTAGAACTGAATGCCTATAACAATTGCTAATTATTTCCAATTTAAACAATGTCATGAGTATTTGAATCTTCATTCATTTTTGAATAAAAAATTCAATCATCTTCACATACTTAAACATATTATTAAAAAAATATTTGAAAATAGAGTTGAGAAATAGTATGGAGAAATATACTTTCAATTTTAATCATTAGCTAAATAACTTTTAAATATCTATATATAAAATATTCATTAATGATAATAATTACAATAGCAACAACAACAAAAAAAAGAAACACATAAAATAATCTATATTAATTTTTTTATCTAATAACGATAGAATATATTCTATATTTTTGATATAATAAATATATTTGATAAAATAAGAATTGAAGAAATATTTGCTAAGATTAGATTACTAGATATATTTTGCTAAGATTATATTATTTAATATACCTGATAAAAAAAAAAAAAAAAAAAAGGATTGAAAGAAATGAAAAGAAAAAGCTAAGATTAAGTTATTAGATATGTTTGATAAAAAAACAAGGATGAAAAAAGGTATGTTAGAAATCAGGTTACAATTGAAATTTGTAATAATTATTTAATAAATAGAAATTCGCTTTCAGCTGTTTATAAATAAGTATTAATATTTTTGTTTTTTTTTTTGTTTTTGTTTTGTTTATAAGCATTTAACAATATTTACACAACAGTTTCTCATACAGCCAAGCACAGATTAAATGGCAATGTAATAATTCCATTATTGGGGAAAAATATGGAAACTTCTTAGAACATCATTTTCTTACCGAACTTTAAAACTTTTCGAACCATACGGGATTTAAGTTCCTTGGAACTAAAACAACAGTTACCGTTTTTACGAGGTGAAATAAAACCGATAGTAAATTTTAAATATTTTTCTAAAAATAAATAACATTCATTTTTCCTGCAATGTTCATTTTTAATATTTTCTTTGATTAGTTAATATTACGGATTGTCTTTGTAATTGAAGTCAGATAAATTACTTCATCACGACTTTAGATTTCTTAACTTTTAGATTAATTACTTTCCATTTTTTTTTTTTTTTTTCGAAAAGAAAATGATGAAAATGATAGAAGTAGATTCACAAATTGTAATTAAAAATTGTATGTAAATCGAAACTTTTATGAACATACAAACTAAACGTATTATTTAATCGTTGTATTTTGTATTTTTTAAACTATATGTTAAGTATATTATTATTATTAAATATGAGATTTACATAAATATAAAATTTTCATTGAATTGAAATTAAAAGAAATTATGACAAAAGATTACAGTTAGAAAATTAGAATCAATTGGCAATATTAATTTATTATTTTGTATATTAATATAATAATGTATTAACGGAATTTAATTATAATTATTTATGTGAATGAAAAACAACTGTATTTATGTACTATGTAATTGTAATGTTGTATTAAATCCCCTGATATTAAACAGTTTATCCAGAAACCGTCTCGTTTCATTATTCCAACCACATAAAATTGATTAAATACGAAATTACTTTTTCAACTACTGCAATCGTTTACCAAATCATACGGATGACTCCGTCATCAAACTTGAACTTCTAGAATGATCAACTCGTAGAGTACCTCTTCTTTCCATCCAGGGCTAATTCTATCCAGGATATTTGCTTGTACTTTACTTCTCTTAACTTTGAATAGATATGATCCTTCCGTTTTCCCCTAGCTTTACCCAATGGTTTTTTTTTATTATCCACATAAAAGTAATTTACACCGTTTCAACTTTCCACTATATATATATATATATATATATATATATATATATATAGCTTTGGCATAGAGAAAGAGCGAATTTACAAGTAGCCCCACAAAAAAGCAAGTGTGCACTCACAAAATACGGCATAGAAATTATTTTGCAAATTAAAATTTTTCGAACTCGCGGAGTTGGTAAATTACGAAGCCCCTTTTCCCCTCGTTTATCAGAGGGTCAGAGTTAATTCTACGCAGTGTCAGTGAAACGTCTGATTTTTTTACTCAGAGTTTCGCGATTTCATGAGACAAGGCGATAACGGTGGTGCAGAGTATATGTGGAACAATTCATCTGTAGTCAGTATCATTACGGATGAAAGTAGAATAAAAGGCTTTCGTGCCTCATTAATATATTAATAATACTACGCAAAATGTGATCTCGCCCTCTCGCATATTTCTGTTTAAGTGGCTAATTCAACTATTATATCCGGAATGTGAGAATCATCATTGATTTTCACCGATTTTCTTAGATTAACGTTGGAAGTAATTCGACAATGTTGCGATTTCTTTTGAAAAATAAATATCCTGGCACTGGATACTTTGCTTCGGAGAGATTTCACATCTA